TAATTAAAATTCTAAATAATATATATAGAATTTTAATAGTAACACAGAGTTTATAAACTACAATTTATTGCAAACTAATTTAATTATATAATTTTGTTACTAAAATATCAAGTTTTTTAACTAAATTTTTTACAGTATCTATGGATAGAAACTAACTCAAACTTAGATCACTATGGTCACTGGAATAATAAGTAAGTTCTGTAATAATTTTTATAACAATTCACAATAGAAATCAAAATAATACTAATACAAACTAATTCAAACTTTCTTTACAACATAGGAATCATAATAATTTTAACTCAATCTTAACCCTGTATACCATATTATCAAGTTATATAACAAAATTTTTTATAGTAACCAAAATAAAAATTATAATAATCTTAATATAAATCAACTTAAACCATATAGTATATATTACTGAAATAGCAAGTAAGTTTTGTAACAGAATTTTATACAATAGAAGTCATGATAAAAGTTATGATAATCCCAATGCAATCTAACTCAACTTTACTAATACTGTGGTAACTAAAACAACAGACAAGTTCTACATTAGAATATTTTTACAATAACTCACTATAGAAATTATGATATTTCGATTCAAATTAAATCAACCTTAACTATATAAAGTCATAACAATTCAATATGAACAATTATTAATTATATCTTAGTTACTGGAATAGTAAGTAATGTTCTGTAACAGATTTTTTTATATTAACTTGAGAAATCAAAAATTTTAGTATGATCTAACTCAATCTAAGTTACATTTTACAGTTACCTGATAGCAAGTACTGCTCTATACAGAAATGTTTATAGTAATATAAGAAAGATCAGACAATTCTAATAAAACTAACTCAACTATAACTATAACCACCAGAATAGCAAATAAGCTTTACAGCAATTTTTCACAATAACCTCAATATTATAATAATTTTAATACTAGACAGCTTTAACCTTAGACTGTAATAATTCTAATATAATAAGCAAAAACTTTGCAACAACTCTTTCTGATAATCAACTGTACCAAAAAATCTAAACACATTTTTTGTAAAAACACAATAGCATTTAGTAAAACACAGAGGGCATACTAGTCACTATAAGTCGGCAGTTGTTATTTAGAGATAGTTCTCATACACTACCTGCTAACTTCTTCAGAGTTTATCATTTACTGCAAGCATGGCACTTGTTGTTTAGAAGTTGTTCTTATATACTGCTTGCCAACAAGCCCAGAGTTTATCACTTACCGAAAAAAGAGTATAGATGTCCCACCCCTTTCTTAGAAAAAGGTTTAGAAGTTGTTGAGTCTCTACATAGATGTAACTACTTTCCTTGGATGCAGGTGATCTCTCTCTAGATATTTTTGCTTGGCCGGTCTTCTCCAAAATTTTCAACAAAAAGTTTGTTTATCTCCCAAATTCAGACATATCTAGGAATACAACTATGTGCTTTGTTTATTGGTGGATATAATATGCGATGTAGTCTATAAATAAGGGACCTCTACGTAACTGAGATCAGGTTTTTGGCACAAGAGACGTCCGGAGGTGGCCAGTAGTTAGATAATAATTTGTTTGATTTTTAGTCAAGATATACAAATATTGCAGTTGTTATAAAATTTTTTATTAAACCTGGCATGGGTTATAATAATGTATTTTTCTTTTGTTTTATTTGTACTATTTCTTGATAGAGGTAGTTTCTCTTTGTTGGCCCTTGGGCTTTTCTCTTTGTTTTACTTTTTTTACATTTCATTGTACCTTCTTTTATTTCCTTTACAATTTCTCTTTGTTCTATTTGTTTTTTTTTTAGTTAGTTTTTTGTTTTGTCTTCTTGGTATTACTAGTGGTTTTATATTAAATATAAGATTATCACTTTCTTTTGCTTTCAGTAAAGAAAGAGAATATAAAGGAAAAAGCTTGATAGGCTAACAAAGTTTATTTCATGGGTACTATGTAACAACCTGTGCTTTTTATTTTTACTGGTCTATATAAAAATGCGATTTCATATAGACCAATAGAAATGAAATATCAAAAATATCAATTTTTTAACAATTGCAAGTGAAGTGTAAATGTATTATTTATTTCAATATAATAAAAATTACATTTTTTTAAAAAAAATATATTTTAAAACATTCAATTTTTTTTTTAAAAAATAATAATAGAAATAGTAATGAACGTTTCTATTGTTTATTTTAATTTTATTATCTCTAATGTCCTTATAAGTTATAGGCCTAATACGATTAGAGATATCGCCCAAATGTGATTTTTGTTGTACAGGTTGAACCAAAGGTCCAGGCTGAGGAATTCGTAAAGGCTTCTTTTTTGGAATTTCAGAAGAAATATTTAACTTTTTAAAAGGTGGCTTAAACAGTGCATACAATTTTGATGTATGTGGTTTCTGTCTTGGTGATAGTTGTGATAATGCTTCAGATAGTAATTCAGGTGGTGATTCAGGCAGTGCTTTGGGTGGTGCTTTAGGTGGTAATTCAGGTAGTGCTTTGGGTTGTAATTCAGATAGTGCTTCTGATAGTTATTTTAATTATAAAAATATAATAGTAAAAAAAAAAATGTAACAAATTAAATAAAATTCGTAAAACCTTTATTTTTGTTTTCATCAAAATCCAAGTAATTCCTGACATTCTTAGGAAAATAATTAAATTCTTCGTATAGAATATCGTCAAGATCCAAATGGATCAGCATTGATATATTTCTAAGCTTTTAAATATCATTTAAACTGCTATACGCCCGAATTCCTTCTCTGCTACAGTGCCCAGAAAATTTCATTCGTTCATTTTCTGGAACTTCCAGATCTTTTAACCTTTGAATTGCCGTACGTTGTAGGAAGTGGTTGCTGATCTTGCGACTATTACCAAGAATAATGCCCATCAGTTCTGCTATTTTTGCCATCATGTTGTTCAACTTGTTTACACCCATCCAGGTTTTTTTGAAAAAATTTTCTTTAGTTATATCTAGTAAAAATAAAAAAAAAATTATTAGTAAAAATACCAAATAAAAAAAAATTTCAAAAGCACCCACAGAACATAGCAAAATTATTTGCAATATATCTTCTATGGGTTTAAAATGATTATTGGCATCATCTGGCGGTATAGGAATCTTTCACACAGAGCTTTTCCTATATTTATTCCTTTTTAATACCCCACACTGATTATTCTTCTCGTGGTTGAATGTTAGAAAAAGCCATATCATCACAATACGATATATCCTTAAAGTTTATTCTTTTGGCGTTACCACCGCGAAGACTGCAAAGAAGCAACAGCCAAAAAAATACACATCTTACCAAACTCTCATTAGTATCAGTTTGCATTTTTTTATGCCCAAGTATTTGAACAATCTCTTCAGAGCTTAATGCAGATGCTTGGTCTTTTTCTTTCAAACCTGCATTCTGAAGTTTCTTCATCTTACTATCAAGTATTCACAAAGCTTTTCTGAAATAGTAAGAATCCCACAACTTACACGGCTTAATTTCGCTATTTTCTTTCAAGTACCAAGCTACAGAAGCGTAGCAGTCGTGTATACTTTCCACTTTGTAGTTTTCACTGTCTATAAGTTTCAACCACGTAAGAAACCTGCAAAAAAAGTTGTCCAATTCTACTATCGTTTCAATTTTTTTAATACTTCTTTCATACTCTATAGTTTCTTGAAATCTGTCAATAGAGCATAACTACTTTAAAGTACACTTTTCCATATTTTCTACAAGTAAAATTCACTGCAATTCAAGAACTTCTTTGTTAGTAGGAGTGTTGGTGCGACTTATTTTGCCCATTTTTGCTAAGAAAAAAAAAATAGATTGATAAAGTTAGAAGTCAATCGATCTAAAAATTTAATTTCTATATACAGTAATAGAAAAGTCTAATTTAGTAAGAAAGTCTAATTTATTAAATTATGTAGTTTGCACGGGATTGTTATGTAATACCCATGAAATAATCTTGTTATTCAATGAATACAGTGTATTCCACAGAATAATAGTAACTCACATGGCCTTCGGCCACATGGTTTACTATTATTCTGTGGAATACACTGTATTCACCGATATCCATTGAATAACAAGAATTTATCTAACTTGTATACAGGTTGGTGTGACAAGTCGCATGTAAGCACTAGGGATGCGGCCCAAACTCACTAGTTTGGGATTAGGTAGAAACCCAAATAGTATTTACTAGGTTTCGCAAAATGCCTCTAATTTGCCGTAATGTCAAATACTTTTTACATGTAAAAACTAGGTTTGGGATTTACCCCATATAAACAAATCGGTTTAAAATTTGAATTTAAATGATGGTTACACAAACTTTAAATAAAAAAGGCTTTAGTTTGAGCGTCTCTTTTCTTATTTGAGTTAAGTGTTGAGGTCACGGTATTTATTTGGTGGTACACTAATTTATTTAAAATTCTCTGTCTTATGGCAAGTATTTCGATTCGAAGCTGATTTATGTAGCAATCACGAGTTAATCAATGAGAGAAACTATATAACGGTCTAATTTTTTTTTTCTTTTATTTAACAGATTTTCATCAGTAAAAAAATTATTAGCATTAGGCCCTTGACTTTTAATGAGCCTGAAGAGACAACTTTATTATAGATAAAAAAGGTTTTTGTCTTTGTACACATTGAATATAATATTTATTAAATCTGGCATATTGCTTCTATTCAAACATACCATACTTAGTTGTTATCTACAAAATCTTCTCTATGTCCAGTATGTTGAATGTGCAATAGGGTTATTTATCCAATATGGTAAGTTTATGTTCAATTCAAAAAAAAAAAATATGAAAGAAGCTCGAATAGAAAAAAGAAAATTGAATAGAAAAGAAAACTTGAATAGGAAAAAAATTCGATAAGAAAAAAAACTCAAAAAAAAAAAACTCAAAGAACAAAAATTTTGATAAGAAAAAAAAAAACTCGATGAGATAAAAAAATCAAAGAGCAAAAAAACTTATATAAAAAAAACAAATTATATAGTATTATATATATAGGTCACTATCATTTAATACATCTTAAACTATAGACCTACTTTCAAATTCCATATTTATTTTTTCTTCAGTCATAATAAGTTCCTCTTGATTATTATTTGCACCAAATACTGGGTCTGATAGATCTGCCAAATCTTGAAAAGCCATTGTAATATCATTTGTTAAAAGATCTATGATTTCTATTTCACCTCCTTCTTTATCTTCATTTATTTCAGTACTATCCATTTCCACAAAGATTGTTTCATTTAATACACTATTACGCAACTCAGTTTCCACAAAATTATTATCACAAAATTTTAATTCTTTTTTGATATTTGATACATAGAAGGAGTGGATCTGTGCCATACTTTCTAATCTTGAAATTTGAAGCCATATACAATGCCCTTCACTAAACTACTTCAAAATTGAAAAATTTTGTTCGCAGTTGGCTTGTGAGGGTACAATAGCAAACATAGTTTCTGCTAGTTCTTGCAAGTGCATATACTTATCTTTGACGACTCCCTACTATATAGAAGGTGTTAAATCTGGAGAATACTCAAAGTCCCAAGGCGCAACTCTTGCTTTGTACTTTATTAATTGACTTACTAATTTACAACATTCTTTCTTATTATAATGCAAGTTTTTATAGTAATTAACTGCTGCCAATTCACAAATATTACGAAATTGACCTTTTTTAAGACCATGGCTTCGGTAATTTGGATGAAGAAAATAGGTCAGAAGATACGAAGAAATGTCAAATTGTTCATATCGAAGGTTGAATGCTACAATAGCAAGAGCATGAAAATTGTTACTAGGAGGTATTCTTCTAAAAGCAATAGTGATTTGGATTATTCTCATAAAACAATTGGCTAAACTTGCTGTATAGTCTTCGAGCAAATTGATCACTCGTTTAATTGGTTCGAAAATTAATGCAATTCTTTTGCATTAGGTATAGAAAACATCATCTTCGTCGAATGCGATTTCAAGCACTTCTTTATTGGTAAATATATCGAGTTGTTCTTCAAGAATCTAAACAAATACAATAAAATAAAAAATAGTATTAATCTAAATTAAAAGATTTAACAGACAAAAATACAAGTATCAGATATTTAATAGGTATGTAATTATTATAACCTAGAGATTGTACTCGTCAAGAAAATCTCTACCTGGGTATTATTAAATTACCCAGTTATTCGGATAATTTAGTATAGCCATATAATAAAAATATCTATCTGAATACAATCTCTATTATCCCTTAAACTGTATTCCAGGCAAATTTGCCTGGAATTTTGAAAAGTATTTACAATTTTTTAAATAAAATTAAAA